AGAGACCACAGGGCCCACCTGCTGGTCCCTGGGTTTCCTAAGGGGAGATAGGGCCAGGGCAGGGCAGGCGTTAATGGTTAACTCACCCAGGAGTAGAACTTTGGAGCTGCTCAGGCCTTAGCCTTTTCTTTCAGCCTTCACTCTCCCTTCCTCCTCTCCCTGTACACTCTTACCTAGTAGGGACCCTGCTCCCCAACAAAGAACTTTCTCGCCTCTGTTTCTGCCCTCAAATTCCAGATGGAACAGTGTGGAGATTCCATATGCCCTGATGCCAGGGAGTGGGGCCCCAGAGAGCCTGAGGGTTAAGTGGGGGAGAAAGGGGGGGTCCTGTTCCTACCATCCCTCCCTCCCAGGGTGCCTTGGGACCAGCCTTTTGACCCCAGGGAAGAACCGTGTGTCTGTCTCCACAGGGCTCACCTTTAGAAAAGACCAAAAAAGAAGTGGATGCACACCCACCCCTCATTTACTCTAATCAAGCATGAAATCTTTGTAACTAAGTGAAAAAACTGTTTCCCATAAGGGAATTGGTTCCATTCATCATTGTTTGAACTGAGCATATGTGAAGGGGAGAAACAGAATATTCACATATAATGAATTGATAACAGACTGCCTCTGGGTGAGGGTGGTCGTGAAAGGGGCGGGGTGTGCACCAGAGCTGTAAAACTATAGCGTCTCCAAGCCTGTTTCTACCAGTTTGCCTGTAGACGGCCCTGAATTATTTGTAGTTAACAGACTGTAACACAATGCTCCAGGCTCTTTATGATCAGAATGGGGGCAAGGGGGGGGGTTGGCTTGAAGCTCCTTGCCTCTCCATTTGCCATGATGGACAGAAGTATATCGGGCCCGTCTATGTGTGCGGGGACAGCTGTGTGGCAATGCAGGGAGACAGCTGGGTCGGGGGGTGGGGAGGAGAATGTTGCTGCTGGTGACAGGAATCACCTGCCCCCACACCAAACCCCATATCTTGGGGTGGCAGCCATCGAAAAGAGGCAGGATAGAGACTATAAAATCCCCAAACAGTGCCAACTCCAGCACCATAAATATTTCATAGTACCTGAACTGGCAAGTTTAGGCTGCTGCCAGCTGCTGCCTCGTATATTTAACTGTGTCACTGGTTTCCCCTCCCGCTCATGTGTTTTCTTACAACTTGCCTGTGAAATAAAAATCAACGGATTCATCAGAAATATGTATAAATGGGAAATGGGCCTAGTACTGAAGTGGTTGCTCTTTGAGGCTTTCCTATGTAACTTCATTTTAAGTACAGATCCCAGTACAACAGATGATGGACTCTGACACTCACATCTGCAAGTTTGATGGTCAAGAGGGTCGGAGGGCGCTTGTGGGACAGGGGTAGGTATTCAGGCCAGCTCAAAGGGAAACCACCAACCTTAGCATGACATGGTTTCTTTAGGCTAGTGGACGGGAGCCACCATCATTTACTCTTCATTTAGACTTGAGCTGAAAGGCCAACCAGTCACCCCTGCCCACCACACCAGACTGCCAGGTACCCCATCCTGTCCTGTCAAAGAGAAGGACCAGGTGGGATTCCCTTGCCAGGCCCCATGGTCCTGGAGCACAGGAGACTGTCCAGTGTTTTATCCACTTTGGATCCTCAGCAGCATCTCCACCGCCCTTCACTCCAAACGTCATTTCCATTTAACTGCTCTGCAAGCCAATTTGCCCCATTCTAATGCAATTTGCTGAGGACAGTAAGGGAGCAGACAGGGCAGTCTGCCTAGCCCTCCCTTTATCAGCAGGTCCCTGAAGAGGGGTGGCTGGGGAACGGGGGGGGGGGGGGGGGGGGGGGGGGGGGGGGGGGGGGGGGGGTGCGGTTCTTTCAGGTAATGCTGGCAGCCAGGGTAAGTTCTGGGAGGAAGAAGGGTTGGGGTGAAGGGTGGAGATGCCAGGCAGAAGAAGGAAAAAGAGATGCCAGGCAGAAGAAGAAAAAATAGCTCACTAGGGTGCTTGGGTATTTTGACAGATTGTTCTCTCCGTTTCCTTGGTTCCCTACTCTCTCTCCTCCAATCCCCCACCCCCCCACCCCCTAGGCTAAGGGGGAGAGATCACAGGTAATTAGTTCAAATATTGCTGTGTGAGGTAAGGGGGAAGTTAATGAATTCTCTCTTCTTGCTGGGAGGTCAGAGGAGAGAGGGCAACTAGCAACTCCAGGAGCTTTCTGAGGTGACTGCACAAAAGTTGTGCATTTCAATTAGGAATAGCTGAATTTCTCCAGCCAGAGCTCTCTCTCCCCTGCGGCCTCTGTCACTCTGTCGAAGGCCCCAGAATCCAGAGCCCGCCCTGAGCGAAGAGTGAAGTTTCAAGATCTGGGAAAGAAGCCCAGCAAGACAGGAGCCTGCTATTGTGTGGGGAGGGGAGAGCCCGCCCTCACTTCTGCTCCCAAAGTGTCCAGCCCAGCCCAGATACTCATTTTAGTTTGCAGCTCATAATCCTTGTCCGTTTTGCTCATGAACTGAAGGGGATGAATGGGTCCCCAGATTTTTGAGGGTTCCTCCTCCAAGCAGCTGGACCCCCAAGCCACTGCCTCAAGCTATAGTTGGCAACCGACACTGGTCCTGTTCCTTAAGTCCCGTGCATGCCCACTACTGGTATGCCACTGTTACCCTAGGGTCTTAGGTTCCCACATGAGACCTGATCAGATTTCCATTGCCTACCTCCTGGGGCTCTCATTTTTAGACTCTTAAACTGACCCAGAACCCCAAGTCTTAACTCAGCTCTGCTCTCCCATCCCCAATTTTCTCTATCATTCAGAGTGGAGTTGCAGATTCCAGAGCAAGGGCCATGCCAAACAGGTGGACGTTTGTCAGGGACCTGGAATGGCAGTTTCTGGGGACTCCCCTTACCCACCAGACCGTGATTCGTATTAACAGAGACTACCCGTGGGATGGATATAAAGAGCTAGTATTTTCTAAGATCCCTACAGCACTTGTGGGGTGGGGCAAGGAGGAGCACATGGAGGGAAATACCCTCAAATGGTTTATAAAGAGCCTCTGGGACCCTCTGCAAGCTCCTACTTTAGCTCCCAACCTTTTGCGAGCGTCCCACCGAGGACGGTGCTGAGGGGTGCCCCACGGCGAGGGCGCACAGAGGAGAGGGGGCATGGGGCACTGAACCTCATTCAGTGCCTTGGAATCGCTCCCGAGCCTTCTGGAACCCGCGCGACGGATGCATTCCCCTTCGATTCCCAAGTCCCTTGATCGATGGGAACTGCCAGCGGCAGCCAGACTCCGGAACCCAACTGAACGCCCCCAAATCCAGCGCTGGCCATAGTGGCCTTGGGCTGTCTTGCTCGCCGTCCCCTGAGGCCCGCTTTGGGCTTCAGCTCCCGGGACAGCCCGGCCGCCCTGCGCTCTCCAAAGCCGCAGAGTGCCGGCAGGTGCGCGGCGGAGGCGCACCGCGGCCGCCCGCAGCCGGCGGCCGGGGAACGGGGGCACCGCCGGGCAGCCCCGCGGCGGCAGGCAGCGGCTCCGAGTCCGCGCGCCCCCGCGCCACGCCGCGCTCCGGCCCGCGAAAGTGGCCCAGCCCGCCCGCCCGCCGCCGCCGCCGAGCCCGGGGGCCTGGGGCCGGGACCCCAGAGCGGCGCGCGCGGGAGGAGCCCCCGCGGGCAGCGAGCGCGCTCGGGGAGAGGGCGGGGGGCGCCGCCGCTTACCCTGCTGGGCGGCGTCGGTCTGTCCTTCCGCTCCCGCGCGGTCCGCCTCGGCCGCGGCTGCCCCTCTCGCGGCCCGCAGCGCGCAGTCACCGGGACAAGCAAATCCACATGGAGTCCAGGTTCATTAAAACCCACGTCCAGCCACCGGCCACTTATCTGTATTCCCGAAGTGGCCCCTCGGCCTCCGGTCCGCTCGCCCCTCGGTCCGCCGCCGCCCCGCAGCAGCCCCGCCGCGCGCTGTCGCCGGCCCGCGGGGGGGACCCGGAGGCGCCGCGGGCGCGTGTGGGGGTGGCCGGCGTTGTCCCTCCTCGGGAAGCAGCGGAGCCCCGGCTGTCTTCAGATTTTTCCAGAGCGACTTTCCGGGCTCCTCTGACATCAGCAGTCGCGGCGCTTCCTTCCCTCCGTGCTCCCCGGGCCGCTCACAGTCCCATTTCCTCCCGGATCCGGGCTCTGCTGGGTCTGTTTCGAGGGGTGCCTCGCTCGCTGCGGCTCCCGCGCCCCCCGCCGCTGCCAAGCTCGCGGGGTCTCGCTCTGGATCGCGCTCCCTCCCGGCCGGAAAATTCCCAGCAGCTGCGCTCGGCCGCCTCCCGCTCCCGTCTGGCGCGGACGCCGCTGCGCCGGCAGCTCCTGCTCCCGCGGCGGCGGCGGAGCCCTCCGCGCGGCCTCCCTATATTAGCAGGCAGCTCATTATCATAGAGGCCGCGCGCGTTAACCCCCTCGCCGCCGGCCGCGCCCGCCCAGGCGGGTCCGCGCCCGCCGCCGGCACCGCCCGCGGCAGCCACCCCGCCCCCGCCCCGCGCGCGCAGACTTCCTCCTCCGCGAGCTGTCAACAAAGAAGAGGCAGGTTTGGCATCGGCGGCCGTCGGGCTGCGGGCCCTGCGTCCCGCTCGGCCCAGACCCACCGGCCCCCTTCAGTGGCCCAGGGGGCAAGGAGAATCCTGCCAGGGCCTGGGGATTCGGGCGGAGGCCTTGCGAGCGCAGCCGGCGGAGCCCCCGGGGCGAGCGGCTGGGGTTGGTGGGGTCGTGGGCTCCCCTTCCCCGAGCACCGCCCGTCGCCGCGCACACCCCGCACACCCCCCTCTTCATCTCTGAGTGAGGGGCGTGTGGGGAGGGACCGGCCTGAAGAGGCTAAGAGGGGGGTCTCGGGATTTGTGGGAGCAAATTTCCTCTGCTCGTGAATTCCAGAAAGCCAAAAAGCTGTCAGATGAGGTTTGAAGTTGTTATTAATTATTATTTTCATAATGCAAAAATGAGCCTTGCTCTGCATCTCAAGTTGCCAGATTGATTAGGGATCCTGGGCATTTGGCAAGGAGGGGGTTGGGGTGGAGGGGGCGGAGGGGAGCTTTCTGCAACCAGACCCAGGGAGGCGGCCTGGCACGACCCAGAGAGGTGGCGGTAAGGTAACTTATTTTAATGACCTAAGGTGAGAGGTTTCTGGATTCCAGGTGGCATTGCCTCGGTGCCTTTACGACCATTGATTCCGTGCCATATAGAGTCTTCGTGCCACCGCAGCCTTTGGACGCGGCTTTCCAAAAGAGGCCTGCAGGCTAGACCCCAGCGAGTTCGCAGGATCGGCGTAGTCCCTGCTCGCGACTAGAGCCCACGCGAATTTACTCAACACGGTCAAGTATTCTGATAAACTCCCTCTACCGCCCTCTCGTGGCCACAGTCCTCAGAGGTCTAAACCGGGGGGAAAGACGATTCTTGAAACCCTGAAGGAAGTCGCATGAAATTCTCAAAAGCAGGAGGAGCCTTCAAAAAGGAAAACTAAATTTAGACTCACTTGTAGTCTTGCACAATCGTTCATTCAATACAGTATTGGGGGAAAAAAGTCTAGGCTTTACTTCATGTACAGAAATTTGTTAATTCTTTCAAAGTTCTTTCATTGTTAATTAGCTGAAATTAGTGTCCGTGTGACTTGCGCGGGTTATTCCTGCTTGTGTCTTGTGGAGCTACAAAGAATCTAAGGTGTCTTCCCTGATCCATACTTGCTTTTTTATTCCAGCTTCCTTAGCCTTTATTGTTGGCACCCCTCCAGGCAATTATCATAAGTCACCCTATATTATTATTTATTTCTCTTTATTAGTAGAACTTGTCTCCCTATCCAGTCTTGCCTACTCTCTCATCTCTGGGTAGACTGAATATAAACCAATATTTATTAAGGAATATGATTTGAAGAAGATACTAGAAGCTTTTGGAACATTTTCCCCATTTGTTCAGTTCATGGAGCCAGCTACACCCAAGACAACCAGTGGTAGGTCGAAAATATCTAACTGATAAAACTTGAAGCTGAAAACCAAGACCTTCTGGTTCTATATCAAGTGCTATGTGACCCCCAGCAGAGGTCAGATCTTCTCCCAATGCCTCAATTTAATCACATTTTTGTGAAGATTATAAAGAATTTAATAAAATTTAGATACTTTGCTAATACCACCTCCCCCACCTGTGGACCAGAAATAAATCCCAGGATGAAGAACCAGGAAGGATGAAATGAAACAGAATCCTCCACGTAACCCATCCTTCACGTCCAGCCTCCCCTCTGCTTCTCATGCAAAGAGAGAGGGAGGAATAGAGAGAGGAGAGAGGCCGAAGAACGCATTGCAGGCGGCAGACACAGTGCACCCATTTCCTCATGCCCCTGAACATGGTCCGAGTTTGGTATGCGGATGCTTGAGATCAGTAATGGGAAGGACACTAACCTGGTCTACTGGGAGGTACTGTGGATGAAGCACCTTTAACATCTCTGGGCCTCATTTGTCCATCTGTAAGATGGGAATTTCTCCCTTCAGTCTCTGACAGTCAAAGGAATTAAAACAGATATATGGAGAGAAATGTTAGAAGAATTAATATCATTAAAACAGAAAGATTCATTCATATTTTTAGTTCTAATAAAGTTAGAACAAATATGGATCTTATTAGTTATGCACATAATTATAATAATATATCATAGGAATTAAACAAAAAGGACAACTCAGGTTCGTGATTTGTATTTAGATATAACATCCTCTGAGGCAAAGGCAATCTATATGAGCGTTTGGTCTTTACAGGTGCTCAAAGAACCACATCCTTCTCATCACTGGATAGTCATTCATTCATTCCACAAATGCTATTTATTAAGAGTGAATTTATAAGATATCCTCCTTTAATGGAATTGTGTAGGCTGCATGATTATTTCTTCCACACATATTTAAAAAAAAATCATGCTAATAGGCTCCATACACTCAAATTTGTCTATGTCATTCAGAGACTTGAGGTTTCTGGTTTCTGTTGGGCTTTTGATGTCCTCTTCCTCTTCTCGTCCAGTGATGTCAAATCCATACCTCCCGGGGGGCTCCCCTAGCCTTGGCCAGTACCTTGGGGTCCATTTTCATTTCTATCAGGAGGGGTGGCCACATCCCAGCACAGCTCTGGGAAAGTAGTGAGCAGTTAACACATATTTATCCAATGAATGGACAGATGGATGGATGGATGGATGGATGGATGGATGGAGATGTATTTGTCTTATACCAAATCCTTATCTTTGGAAAATCCTGCCAAGCTCAACAGGGTTCTCCCCCACCCTACCCCACCCACCTACACTGGCCACAGCTGTCCTGGAATCTCACCTGTGTAAAGCCATCTGTGGCTGCTGCACTGTTATCCTGGGTTCCAGGCCTCCTCTTGTTTGTCACTAGATTGGTGACTTGGGGAAGAGGGTAGAGAATTGGGAGAGAACAGGGCACCAGCCATCTAGAATAGGGATGAATGTTTCCTGGGAAAAAATAAGTATTTCTCCTTCAGAGGGCCTGTCTGGAGGAGCAGGCCTCCTCAAGACCTTGAAAGTGAGCCATAGACTTTGGGGGAGAATAGGCTCAAAATGGGCGACCAGCCAGTCCGCAAAGGAAGTCCTCTGCCTGTCAGAGCAGCAGCTCCAGCCCCACAGGTAGTTGCCAGTACGGTAGCCCCTCAGATCACCAGAGGTATTTTTGGTGCTGGAAGCCAGCCATGCTTTGGCAGGCTTTCAGCATTAAGTCGGCTCCGTTTCAGAGGTGGGGGTGACAAGCCACCAGCTTTCAGCATGGGAATGCGGCCTGAGGGTGTGTGTGTCTCGAGGGCCTGGGGGCTGGGCATGGAGGGCTGTGTGCCTGGCCCTGTGGTCGGGAGCGGAGCAGGCGCATGCTGGCCAGTGGAAACAGGAGGTCTCCGCGTGGTTCATCGTCTGTTACCAGGCTCACATCCAGCTCCCAAAGCTACTGATACCACGACCAACTCCATCTGTCTCTGCCCTAAGATGCGTGGCATCTTTCACTGCCATGACCTTGAGACTTTGGCCTTTCAAGGCCCTTCTGTCCCTCACCCCATACCTCACCTTCACCCAGCAGACACTGTCAGGCAGCCACAGCGCAGACACAACAGCCTCCTCTCCCCCCCCAACTGCTGGGAACAAAGGGATGGTCTGATGGGCCAGGCTGGAGTGTGTGGGCCAAGTCCCGTGAATGGAGGGAGAGCTGTGGGAGGAAGGAGGGGCAGGCCAGGCAGCGGGAACGGGGGGCCCAGGACTTGGCAATGGACACCTGCTCCAGGCTTCTCAGCACCATTCATAAAGATGTCACCCTCCTCTCTCCTCCCCTCATCCCTTCACAAATCTTACTTTCCTGTGCACTTTAAACAGTAACAAGCCTGCTAAGGATCCAGATCAAACAAGGCGGGATTTCACTTCTTTCTCACTAAACCTCCCATGAGCAGAGCTGATGTCCCTGTATACCTCACCCTCTTTCCCTAACCCTCCCTGCTTCCCTCCATCTCGGATGTTGCTCTGGGCAGAGAATATTCACTCTGAGGCCTAGCCAGCTGCAGCCCTAAACCTACTTAAACAGGCCCCTGGGACAATTTGCAAGAACCCTGCCTGTACAAGGAGGCAGCATGGAGGGAGTGCAGGCTACGGGCTCTGGGCGTGGAGGGGAGGGCTGGCTGAAGGCCTTGGCCCTTGGCCCTTGGTCTGCTCTGTGCCTAGCGCTGAGGGTCTGAGAAAGAGCCCACCTCCCTTACTTTTCCTAAGAGATTCCAGAAAAGGAGATACTACCTATTTGGTCATGTAATCCCTGCTTACGTCTCTCACAGCCTCCATTTCTTCATTTCTAAAGTGGAAATGATGCCCCTTGCCTCGCATACCCCGCTTCACAAGAATCCAACAGGATACTGGCTGTGTATCCAAAAGCGTTATCCAAACGCATGGGGATGTACCTTAAAATCAAAGTTCCTCCCAGACCCACACCTGCTTCTTGACTGCTCTAACTACAGTTCATTCTCTTGTTCAGTTTTCAAGGGAAAAACATCTGAGCTCATTCAGATATACCCCTTGGTTTATGGGGTGGCTGCATTGTCTTCCCATCACCTCGGGATCCTTCCTTGTCTCCCATGCCTCCGCTGGAAAATGCTACAGACCCAAAGAGATTCTGTCTGGTTAGCTTCCTGCATGGAACCACAAAGCCCATCCATGCTGGAGTTGGTACTCATTGCTGGGCAGTCCACGCCCACCCACCCCTACCTCCCAGGTAGGCAGAGAAGAGCAGGAATGGCTGGGGTGCTGCAGAGAACACCCCTCAATTGTGCAAGAATCAAATGGGCTTGAACCCTCACTGCCTGAGATGTTTTAATGAAAATGCATTTTTGAGGTCTTTCTCTGCTGGGAAGCCCTCACTTGCCAGGAAGCCTTGTGCTGGCCTCCTTGGCTTCGGTGGCCCAGCCTGCACTGGACGGCAATTGCTCTCAGTACCTCAGTGGGAGCTGGGTGGCCAGGCTTTCTGAGATTCAGTGTCTGGTGGGCAGGCACACCGGAGCCTCTGGGGTGGGAGTGAGTGAGGGTGGACAATGCTGAGATGAGAAACCTCAGGACCAATAGGAAGCAAGCATTTTGTCCAGGTCCCTTCATCTGCACAAGATGACACCTTCCCTTCAGTTGCTTATAATTCTCATCACATCGTGGTGAGTGCCGCGCTGTACAGGGTGCCCGCCCCGTTTCAATCACAGTGCTTGGGGGTCTACCCATATGACGCCTGATCCTCACAAGGTCAATCTTATGATGTAGATATGATCCCCCCATTTTACAGATGCATAGACTGGAGATCAGGAAGTCAAGTGATTGGTCCCAAGGTCACCCACTAGTAGGTGGTATGGTTAGATTTTGAACCCAGTTTTGTCTGACATCCAATTTCTCTAGTTTTGTCCCCTTCTAGGAGGAGAAAGTGATGAAAGGGTAGGAGTCCATCCTTCAGTGCCAGGAAATAAGGGGCACGGGGCTTCATTCCTCTTCTTGGAACTCAGCCCGCTAGTGACCGGGAGCCTGTTTGCCCAGAGAGCTCCTACAGATTCATCTAGAGTCCAGCAAAGCGTCAGCACTGCTGTGGACCAGGAATATCATTTTCTGTTACAAAGGAGAGTGTGTTGTAACTGTTATCACGATTATTATAAACAATCATACTAATGAGCTCAATTCTCCCCTATTTTGCAGGGTGTGTGTGTTTAACAATGAGAGTTGGCCCAGAGGAAAGAAGCTAGCGAATCTCCACTAGCTCAGGTCACCTCTGCCCTGCGCAACACCACATCCACGGACACGCCTACCTTTCAAAATAATGGGATAATTGGGCGCAATGTGTACTGCCCCCATCCCTTAGAGGGAGCAGGACATACGGTCTTTGTGGGAATCCACAGGGTGCAGGGGGCACACACCACCCGGGTCTGCCTTCTGCTTGATTGCATCTGTGCCCTACAAAGCCCCCCAGAATTGAACTTACATTGCCTCCTCATTAGGGGAGAAAGGAAGACAAAAATGATAACGGAAGAATTTCTTCCTGCCTTGAACTGCAAGCTCGTCAGGGACAGAACATTAGGCCCTCCCTCTGTCTGCCCAGCCTCAGGCTTCTTTTTCCCGGCTGATACCTGGAGTACCTAACACAGTGCCAGGCCCTCCTTGGAACGGAGCCCATGTGTGACAAGAGTGAGGAACAGGGGTGGTTGGAAAAGCTCGACCTGGCCTGGGGGCCTGTGTCCGGCCTGCTTTGAGGCAGTGCAGAGCTGTGGCTGGGGCAGTCTGGGAGGCCTCGAGCCAGACAGGTGGGGGCTGGTCCAGGACTTCTGTGTAGGGAGCCTTGCCCTCAGAGGAGGCTGGCAGAGAGTAAAGTCCATCACCCCATGCAAAAATAAACACACTGCTTAAGTAAATCAAATACCCTGACATCCAGCCACAGACTCCTGTACCTGCTTTAGTGCTGTAAATTTAGGGCAGGGTATGAACTATGGAGGTCTAAGAAGAAAAATCCAGAGACGGCATAAGCTCTTCACAGACAGGAATCAACTGCATCATCACCAGCATCATGAAATAGTGAATAACCGCCAGAGAAAAACTACTTAAACACTGTTTTGTGTATTCTGAATTTTGAATTCCTAGAAAGAACCACCCTGCCTCTCAGAGCCAGTTTAACATTAAGCTCATTACTCTTTCCGTTGTGAAATTCCTCCGGTGGGATATTGTGGGTAGCGTATGAGATGAGCAAGAGTTATTCTCCGTTTCTATTCTTCTTTTCTGCATCTCCTCCCCATTTTCTCTGGGGTCACAGCAACCTTTTTCTGGAGAATGGCTTCTACTCACCCCGAATCAACATTTGAATGAAAAGACTGCTATTTCCATCAAAAAAACAGAGGTTGGACCCTGCCCCCGCCCTTGGGTGTCTGGAGACCTGGGTTCTCATCCTGCCTCTGGTGTTCCTCTCTCCGGAGGCTGGTTTCCCATCTGCAGAGAGCAGGAATGAGGCTC